ACCACTCCAACAGACGCAACTGTATTTAACCTGGATGACGATGAAATGAGTGGCATCTCTTCAGGTAATCTTAACAACACTGTTTCTTGTAGGTCTAATGTTTCTGATGAGCTTCCTCGTCAGACCATTAGAAAACCAACTACAAAGCGCAGAAAATGGTCCACCGACATGAACATTTACATAATGCGCAAATATTATGAAATAACAGACTGTGAGAATGATGTAAGTAATTATAGAAATTCTCTTCACGAAGCATTTTTAAGTGAGTACCCCAATTTTAACGTTACCATTCAAAATATTGCCGACCAAAGACGAGCAATAGTAAAGAACAAATATTTACCATCTGAAATTTTAGAAAAAATTAAATGTGACATTAAATCTAAAACAAGAATAAATACGGATGTCACCAATTTAAACACAACCAATTTAAACTCAACTAATAATTTTGAAGTAAACAATAACTTAAACCTAAATGATTCTGAAKGTAATGATCTGAACGATATTATTTTGAATAATTCGACTTTAGACATTTGTGATAATAATATTAACAYGACATCCAACAATTTTCGTTACCATCAGAATTTTAAATTTGAAATTGAGAAGGAATTTAAACAAGCTGTTCTTCTTTATTCAAATACAAACCCAACTGWAAGACCTGACATTCCCAAACAAAAGTATACTATMAAATTTWCAGCAATTGTCGAAATTATTAACAATCACATACTTCCAAAATATCTAACAACCTGCCTTTCATTCATAACTCTTCATACACTAATTTATTGTGCAGCAGTAGCTGCTATTAGAATTAATAATTCTAAAGAATTTTATAGACATTCTAAAAACACAAACATAAATAAAACACCACAATGGGAAATTAGACTTAATAAAAAAATAAATTCAATTAGGAAAGATTTAGGTCAAATAACACAATACCTGAAAGGTATAAATACACAACACATAAACCAATGCATAGAGCTAATTATTAGGAAAAACAAGATACACTGCAACACTTATTCAGAGTATAATTCAACACTTTTACAAATCAAAGATACGTTAATGCAAAAATTATATCTTTATTCTAAAAGATTGAAAACATATAAACAATCTCACCTTAGGAAAATACAAAATTCACAATTCTTAAACAATGAAAAAAATTTTTATCGTAATTTAAATAATGAAGAATCACTAAACAATGGTCTATCTACCCAATCAAGATAATTTAACCCAATTTTGGAAAAACATTTGGTCTGAGAAAAAAGATTTTAACATGTCATCATCTTGGTTAAATGTTATTAAAACAGAAGTTTCAACAAAAAATGACATGCCATCTTTTCAGATTACAAATGAAATTTTAATAAAAAT